ACAGGATTAGGAGATAATATTGGCAGAGCAGGAGGCAAGCAAAATATTTCTTCTTCACGGGTTAGCACTTCTGAGATAGATTCAAAATTATCCCGATAGATACGCTCTTCAAATTGATGATGGCCTGTCTTTTTTTGATCAATTGGCTGCATTCCTTTACTATCAAATGTACACGTGGCTTCAGAGGGTACAATTGAGAGCGAATTACCAAGCAAATATTCTCCAAGGTGCTGGTTCAGAACAACATCAAGGGCTGGTTCTGGAAATTCCCACAATAGTGGTCCTTCCTCTACTAAGTCCCCAGAAGAATTCAATTCTTTAATAGTTAACTTGAAGTTATCAACTAAAACCTGCAACACCAATTCTCTCCAAACATTATGCACAGAAGAAGTCCAATCTTTAAGCTTCTCAAAGCCACTCTTCAGCCGCATATCATACCAAATTTGCTTTACAGAAACAGGCAATGACCAATCTTGCCCAACTGCCTCTATCAATTCAAGAAAGAACCAGCTTCCCCGAGGTTTCCATTCATCAGTAATCTCATCCCAATCTCGAGATAACCTCAACATGTGAATCCCAGCAACAATTTCGTCACCCATGTCGGGAAAGAAAATTCTCCGCTGCTCATGACTATCCTCACAATCAAAAATCACACCTTCCCACCAGGCATCCTCATGAAACAAGTCAACACATTGCCCATACCGTAAACACCAGGTCCCCATATCATGGGATGGCGGCGAAGGCCTTATTCTACCCCTATGATTCTTGGGCATTACAGTGACACCAGTATCAACCCCATCAATCATAGGGGTTACATTCACAGGTTCAATCAAATTATCAGAACCGTCATCGCTGAGAAGGTGATCATACCTGACACGACGAACCAAATTTTCATCGGAAATCACGGTCGCATCATGCCATGAACCCAGAAACCCATCTTCCAGGCTCCTCACCTGTTCATAGAATTTACAATTCCCAACAAAATTTTAAACCCAGAAACAAAAACAAACAAATAAATAGAAATATTGAGTAAATATAGTTGGACATCGAAGAAGGAATTATTTTCACCAACACGTCGGAAAACCCAGAAAAATTAATGCATGAATTTTGAAACTAAAGGGTAAATAATTGAAGTAATTCGAACCATCATTCGTTCCCAAATAATCTTAGATTTTCATATTAATCAAACCAAGAAAAGAGTCAATTGATTAACACAATTAGTGTGCTTCGTTCAACGACAAA